TCCAAGCAGTCACTGCAGGGTCAGCAATGACTGAGCGCAGACCAAAAAAAAAAAAAAAAATCACACATATGCTTTTTTCCTCCATCCAACTATTGAGCAATTTTTCAACTCTTTCAGAATGATTCTTTCTGACCTCAGAAAGACATGGGGAAGTCAAACACTGGTCAAGTATGTCAACCAGTGAATTGTGACAATAGGTTCACTCCAGTGGAGGCCAAAAAACCCACACTGGTGCTTAAATGCACAGTCAAAAGGTTTCTGGAAATCAATTCACAATTATATTCCCATTTTCTTGAGTCAGGGTTTCTTGCTATAGATTGTTTTGATTTATTTTAAAATACTTGTTTGATCTGCTTATCTGAAAAGCTGTAAGAATCAGCTTCTTCTAGCATTTCCCTAAAGGAGTTCTGCCACTCCACATATATTTTGCTCCAACATTGCTTAGATTTAGGAAAGATCCTGCTTGTCTTTTGGAGAGCACTCCAAAAGATGTGGTACAGAGCACGAGGGTCAGGGAGTTAGATGTCCTGTGAGATGTTATTGTTATTGCTTGATTTTTTTACTGGGTGTGTTGTTGGCAACCATTGTAGGTTTTCATGCTTTTGCTGTTGTTGTTTTGTATTGCTTTTAATGTGTTGTTAGCTGCCCAGGGTTGGAATTTGCAAGATGGGTGGCCATATAAATCAAATAAATAAATATAAATAAATGAAGCCATTAAGACCTTTTGTTTAGCAGGCCTTCTGGTTAAATATGGTGGAAATTGTTCCATCTGTAATTAGTGATTGATTGGTGTTGTCCTTTTGCATATTGTGGATATTTTTGTTCATCTTCTATTGCTTTCTTTCTATCTGGGTATTTTAGCTATGTACAGTAAGTTGCTCAGAATTGGCATGACATATAAGCTTGGATGAATGAATGAATGAATGAATGAATGAATGAATGAATGAATGAATGAATGGGCAAACTTTCTTTCTTTAATATATAGCATGAAACTCTTCTTCACTTTTGCATCCAAATCAGAATTAAAATCTCACTACTAGCATTGCAAGGAGACTTAGAAAGAAGGTATCTATTTTATATTACCATGAATAAGTTCCATGGAGAGATTCCACCCTAAATGCCACCTTGTATGTAGAGATATCCCATCTCTGTTCCTCTTTTCCTTTCATTTCCAACATCTTTTCCATGAGGGTCAAGGGAAGGAAAAAAAAAACCTGTATTTTGTACAGTATCTTTTCTGAGAACATGGGAATATGGATGGTGCAGTTGTAGGCAGTTTAACGTTATTGGTATGCATAATGGAAGGAGTGATGAATGTTATTTTACATGGTTTAGTGTTTTGTTTAAATGTTTGGCTGAATTGTATATAATATAATGTGTTTGGGGCAGCTATTTTTACTTAAAGCGAAAATAAATTTTAAAAAGAGTTGTTACGGTAAAACACAAGTGGAAAGAGAAACGATTGCTTCCCTGCTTAGTTGTAACTGCTGAAGGTAGGTAAAGAAAAAGGAAGTCAAATAAGAGAGGGAATGTGATGGAGTGGTTAAAGTGTTGGAAAGGAGTGGGGAATGTTCTAGTCTACGCTAAGCTAAGGAAGCTCATTGAATGACATTGGTCCAGTCACTGTTTCTCAGGCCAACCTACCTCACAGAGATGTTGTTGTGGAAAACAATAGGAGGAACAAGCAGTTAGTTTGTTTATTTGTTTGTTTGTTTGTTTGTTTATAAGATTTGTATGGGTGCCCATCTTAAACACAGTTCTGGGCAGCTGAAAACAATAAAACCAATAACTATAAAATCATAAACCATAAAATTAAAAAAACAAAAAACAAACCCAGTGCCTCACTCATACCCTTTGGACGCCCCACAACCAGCTCCAGACATCCTCACTCTACCCCAGTGCTTGGGTAAAAAGCCAGGTCTTGTTGACCTTCGGAAAGGCTAAAAGGGTGGCAGCCTGCCAGATCACTGGGGGAGGGTGTTCCATAAAGTAGCTGCAGCCGCAGAAAAGGCATGCTTCTGAGGTCCCATTAGAAGGCAAGATTTCAGGGAAGGGACCTGGAGAGTGTCTACCCTATCTGATCTGGTAGGATGGGCAGATACTCTCAGGGAGAGGTGGTGCCATGCATAACCTAGTCCTGTGCCATGTAGGGCTTTAGAGGTGGTAACCAGCACCTTGAGTTGCACCTGGAAGGAAACTGGGAGCCAGCGCAGCTTGCACAACAGAGATGTAACATGGGCGAGCCTATGAACATCCAATACTGCACATGCCATTGCATTCTGGACCAGTTGTACCTTTCAAGTAGTCTTCAAGGGCAACTCCATGTAAAGCACATTGCAGTAATCCAAGCAGGAAGAGACTAAGGCATGAGTGACTGTGAGCAAGGACTCCTAGTCCAGGAAAGGGTACAATTGGCACACAAGGTGCAAAGGCCTTCCTACTCACAGCTGCCATCTGCTCCTTAAGCAGGAGCCGTGAGTCCAGGAGGACCCCCAAATTGCATGCCAGCTCAATCTGGGGAGGTGCAACCCCATTCAGAGTCAAAGATGACAGATCACCAGATCCTGGAGGGCCAAAAACCCAAAGTCACTCCATCCTGCCAAGGTTGAGTCACATCACCTGCCTGACCAGGGGTAGAGATATATAGCTCTCTGCTGATGATACCACATCCCGTGTTGTTGAATGACCTCACCCAGTGGTTTCATGTAAATTTTAAAGAGGAGATGAGAGGGACCTGAGTCCGGAGGCACCCCACACTGCAGGGGCCTAGGGCTTGACCTCTCCCCCTCCAAAACTGTCTGAAACCGGCCATGGAAAAAGGAGGAGAACCATAGCAAAACAATGCCTTCTACTCCCAACCCCCAAAGCTGGTCCAGAGGATACCATGGGTGATGGTATCAAAAAGCTGCTGAGAGATCCAGGACATCCAGGACAGTTGCACCACCCTCATCTCAAGCCCTCCAAAGGTCATCAGGAAGTGCAACCCGTCCCATCTCAGCGCTGTACCCCAGCCTGAGGTACTGAAAAGGATCCAGACAATCCGCTTTATCAACCACCCTCTCAACAACCTTTCCCCAGAAAGGGAAGTTGGAGACTAGACAAACATTGTCTAGCACAGCTGGGTCCAAGAATATACATTGCCTTGAATACATTCCTGAATAAGATGCAAGATATAAATATTTAAAAATATATAAACTAGAAAAGTAACAATTTTAAAAATTTAAAATGACATGCTAAATTTTCCCTTCTAATGTTTGTAAAGAATTGCTCATCAATTTCCTCTTCCAAAATCAAATTGTTTCCTTCCAACATATTTTCCATCCCACCTCATTAGTAATCTGAGTGAATATGAAATGCAATACATTTCTTCAGATATGTTTTTCTCAGAAGAATAAGACTTCATGACCATTAACTTGAGTCCAAATATAGAATTTTAAGCTTGTTGGTTGTATTACTTTGCACTTGAAAGTAATGGTTAGCTATTATGTACTCAACGTTCAGCATTACGGCTATAGAGAGACCTTTTATAACCACTGATTCTGATAATCTAAATGTCTGATTTTCTCAAGGTCCAGTTGAAAAGTGATGAATCAAAAACCTTTGCAATGAAGATACTAAAGAAACGCCACATAGTAGACACAAGACAGCAGGAACACATACGCTCAGAAAAACAGATCATGCAAGGCGCTCACTCAGATTTTATTGTGAGGTATGATTGTGTTCTTGGATAAAGACCCCTTCTTCCAGAGTGCAGAAACTTGTTCTCAGCTCTTCATTACAGTGTCGGATCAAATTGCTATATAATGCCTCATCTGTTCTAAGTGTTCATTCAAATGTCTGAAATACCAAACGAGTACATGAATTCTGTCACACAATACTGTGTTATTTATAATTGTAAATACAATCGTGTAAATTAAATGAAGAGTAAATCTGCAATGTGCACAAAAAATCATGGGTTTCTATTGAGTGTTGAGTGTTTACAAAACACTCAATGAATAATCTACAGTAGCAAATGCATATTTAAAGCTAGACATTTGCTTACTAAAAACTATGAAATGTTATGCCTAATTGAAGGCACGTTAATTATACTCCTGCTTGCCTTCCTGTACTTAACTGGTAGCAGCACAAGTCATATCTTAGTAACTAGTTGTGTATATGTGTATCCACACAAACACTAGAAGGTGGCTTAGAACAACACTGAATTCTGCCTCTGCTTATTTAGATACTTGGATCTCTACCCTCCTTTGAGTCATCTTCATTATAATTTTATAAAACATGTATGAAATAGTAAAAATACAAGTACAAGTTGTTCTTGTTGCTCCTTGGGAGTTAGCTCTTAATATTCCAGTTTCCTAGCAAAAAGATTGTAAATAAGAACAAACAAGAAAAAGAAAGGTTTTACCAAAATCTCTTCACAGAATAGCTTATTTTGATTAAAACAAATCCAAATGTTGCTAAAAATGTGAGATTTGCATATGCCAGTATTCTTCATCAAGCTAGGGAGTACTAAAGGCAGGGAATGAACAAAACAAAGCACCTTTATTATAGTCTCGGACCGGCGTATACGCATAAGGTCCCTCATTATTCATAAATACAACCGTAAAGGAGGATCCAAACAAGAATATGAAATCATCTATAAAGGAATTTAACAAGAAAATTAAAATTAGATGTTTTAAAACAATTTAATGCTGTTGAATAATATTTACTACCATGTTCTCAAAACTACTAGGCCAAATCTTGACCCATTGTGGGGTAATAGTGGCCCTAGGAGGCCCTATAGTCGGCTACCAGAAAAGAAATACACCAATTTTCTTCTGTATCTGGCAGTGCTTTTATGAGATGTCTGATTAATGTGACACTCAAGTCCCTATAAAAACTACAGTATCACAGGACATGTTGCATATCCTCTATAATTGGGAGCTGCACAGGCAGAGACATTCATGGTGGGGCATCTTTTGATATTTGCCATGAATGATTGCTGAAGGCAATGCATTGATCCTGGCTAGGCCAAATGTCCTGCAACATCTATAATTTATTAGAGATTGGTGATAGTTGATATAGTACTGAAGCTAAGCCTCCAATATTTATATACCCTTGGTGCAGGAAAAGAAAGAAGACCAGAATTACTCAAAGGCTAAGTCGCATGTTGTTTACTGAATTCGAGGGGGGGGGGACTTAATCAATCTGAATAGATTGGATAGACTCATTTTTTCTCTGAATGATATCCATACAACACCTAAAGACCACCAGCTATTCTTTAAGTGGAAGAAGATCATAGATTTCATTTAGTATTTCAAACTCCAGGAAGTGTTCATAATTCTTTTTTCCCCTTTCTTTTATAGGTTATATAGGACATTTAAGGACAGCAAGTATTTATATATGTTGATGGAAGCCTGTTTAGGTGGAGAGCTTTGGACCATTCTCAGGGACAGGTAAGAGATATCACAAGGTTTATTTTGATAGGAAATCACATTCCCTTGGCATACAGAATGTGATCATATGAACAGTCTGCGTCATTAAACATCTTTCTAGAGTGATCTGAAATTCTATGTGCTAGCTGAGAGCCACATTGCAGATGCTACTCAGTCCAATGTATAATCTAAGTCCAAGATACACCCTTTGAATACCTAGAAGTTATTCTCTTATTAATGTAATGTGGGGAGAAGCATCATTTAATATAGTTATTTCCCAATGATCTCTGTCCTATCAGAATTCTCCATTTACTTGCTTTTCACTACTCCTTTTCACAAATAGTAAGCTGTATCTTTTCTAAGGTACATCCCTACAGCATTTATTCTGGCAATTTGATCTCTGTCATCTTCACGCTCTGACAGTTTTTAAGTCCAAGTTGTTTTACTGTATAAACATTTCTGGCAGAGATGATGTTGTACGTGATAGGCAATCTGCATAGCTCGTTCCCTGATTTTAGCAGGGAAATAGCCTTGGGGAAGAATCATCTGCCTCTTTCAGGCCTTTGGGTCAAAAGAGCCTGAATGGTGTCATGGAAAGAATGAATCTGGGAAAGAGTCAAATTCTGGCTTGGCTATGATACCAGTTGTGTGTCCTTGAGCAAAATTCAAATTTTAATCTAAATGGGTAATCATCTTGTGTGATGTACTGTGCTAACTAAAAATAAAAGCATCTCTTCAGTTTCTAGGGCTGACCAAAAAAGCAACTGCTTTCTATACCAACCATGATTTGGTCCAGTCTTCTAAACATTTAGTCTTAGTAGAATATTGTGGTTCAATAAATTTCCAGATTAAGACAATATTTCTGCTCTAGATGATGGTCAAGATTACATGTGTTCAAAATGTTTGTACTTAGTAGACTTCTTTAATGTCATGGCTTTCAGCTGACTACCAGTGATCTTGAAAGAAGAGTAGATAGGCATAGCCACGCCATGATCAGACCAAGGCCCATTTGGTCCAACAGTTTATCTCATACCTGGTCAGATACTTACAGGAAGCCCATTAGCGGAAGACCTTCTGCTCACCTTCTTCAGCAACTGATACTGAGAGAACTCTCTTACTGAAGACAACATTTAGCCATCATGACTTGCAGCCTATTGTTGGAAATTACTTAGGACTGCTGGCAGCATTAGGAGTGTGTCCTCATGTGATCCACAGCTTGGCTCCTACCTTGGCCAGCAGGGCAATTCTGACAGATATCCCTGTCAGAAAATCGTTGGAGTCAGCCAGCAGAAATAAATTTCTGAAAGCACAGCAAGGATTTCCTGCATCGTCCAACCCAATTCAGTCAGTGCGTTCTTGAATTAGTATGGTGCTCTTAAGGTTGACAGCTTTTACTATTGTGATGGACTGCTATATTGTGCTTTTAAATTTTTAACATACACTTTTATTGGGGGCTAGTTTCAGACCACAGAGTGAGCCATTCAAGTAAATAATGCTGCAATCCTCTTCTGACTTAAACAGAAAACCCATTAAATTCAGGGAGACTTTCTTGGGAGGATTTATTTTATTTCATACATTACATACTAACCCAATCTCAAGGCTCTGGGTTGTTTACAATATGCAGCAAGAAAGAAAATATAACCAATGTAGTATCTCACAAAAGCCACAAAAATAAATTTGGCTGTAAGCAATCAACAACTCAAATCCAGCTGCCCCAACATCCCTAATCCTCCAACACCTGGGAGAACAAAATCATGGGGGGTGAGCAATCTCAACTCTGGGGAACAAGCTGTCTACCATGCAACCATGAAGGTCTGCTTCCAGCCCCACCCCACCCCACCCCCCAAATATTTATTTATTTATTTTGAGGTCTATTTTTGTACTGTGGTTGGTTTGGTTTGGTTTTTCTTTTTTAAAAAACCTGTTATTAGCCACCCAGAGTCTCTACCATGACACGGGCAGCCATGTCAAACAAATAAACAAGCAATGTAATGTGAAATAAGAAGCTGAAGCATCCTGCCCCAAGAAGACTATGGAGAACAGGTAGATTCTTCCTGGTTCAAAAGATGACCGAGATTTAAGCCAACATGGGCTTTACAGTTAATACCAGCACCCTGAATTGCACTTAGAAGCCTATTGGCAATCAGTGTTGAGCCCACAAAGAAGATCTGTATATATGATTAGGCCATGGCATTCTAGATCAACTGCAATTTCTCAGATGTCTTCAAAGGTAGCCCCAGGAAGAATATGTTGATTCCTATATTGTAGAGGTGTGTATGATGAGAGTTAGTGTTACAAGGACATTTAGTCCCCCCCCTCTCTGAAAAAAGGTGTTATTGGTGTACCAGCCAAAGCTGGACAAAAGTCTTTCTGGCCATGGCCTCCATTTGCTGATCAAGCAGGAGCCTGAATCCAGAAAGGCTTATAAATTTGTGACTGTAAATTTGGGGAATGTAATCCTGTCCAGAGCCAATGCAGAAGTCAGAATCATGCCAGTCTGATTTTGTATGAACAGTACCTCCACCTTGCCTTGGTTTAATTTCAGCTGGTTTTTCCCATCCAGTCCCTTAGAGCTTCCAGATACCAGATGAGGATCTCCAGTGCATCTATGGCTCAGCCTAGAAAGGCAATGAATAGCTGGGTATGATCAGCATATTGATGATACCTCACTCAAGTTGATGTTTGACCTCTTCAAGTAGTTAAATCTCCCACCATTCCAACAGGATTCTCCATATCTAGTTATAACCACACAGCTGAAGCAAGTCTGAAATCTGGTTAATCACTACTAACACTTTCAGCAATATATCTCATTCCAACCTCCCACTTACATTCCACATGTGGTCCCTCAAACCTTATTCTCCTTGGGGCTTGCAAGATAATGAAGCCCCCCTCCCACCACATTTTCACTTTCAGACAGGGAGCTATCTACTTCCATACAACCAATGTTCCTCAAGATGTCCTTTCAAGATCTCATGGAAACAGTTCCAGCCAAAGTAACCATCCATAGTTAGCAGCAACAGTCCAACCAAAGCAATTTTTTTCTGTTCTGGTTTTGGCCTTCAAGCATGGCACCTGAACTTTCTACCAAGAGCAAATTAACATTTGCTTCCCACACTTTCTGTTGGCCATTGGCCATCCAATCTTCATTTCAAGCTTCTCAGTGATAGTGTGCAGGGGGGACCATACTCCAGCAGATACAGTAATCAAGGGAAATGAAGCAACACCACTTTTAATGAGCATAAATGCTCCAGGTCCCATCTATTACAGAATGTCATCTGGTGTGGCCCAGGAAGAGAGCCTTTTCTGTTGTGGCACCTGCTCTTTGTAACATCATCCCCCTAGAGATGATGTTACAAACCCTGCTACCTTTTTGCAATGCTTTAAAGATGTGGTTTTGTCCCTCTGCTTGGGGATCTGGATGTGTGGAAAACTGTGCAATGGTTATGTTAATTTGTTGTTAGTTTTTCTTTTAACCTTGACTTCTGATTGTATTTCTGTAGGTTTTTTATATTATTATTTTTTAAATAGTTTTGGGCTGTTGTCAGCTACCCAGGGTCACGAATTTAAGATGGACAGCCACATAAATTTAAATTTAAATGAATGAGTAAATAAAACACTATCAGGAGGAGGATAATTACATTTTTAGACCACCCTTCATTCAAATAAAGATCGAGGCAGAATGCAAAATAGATTCAGGAGTGTTTATATAATTCTAAAATATATTAGAAACAAAACAAAATGCAGTAATAAAATAGTTCAAAAGGCAATCAAAAGATAAGAAAGGATGAACTTACTGGTTAATATGCCTGTTGCTTCTATGAGATGTAGTATAACAACTGATTGAAAATATATAAATACAAGTAGATTGTTTGGGTTATAATTTGATAGTAAATACTGTCTTTAAAATTTGCCAGTACCATAAATAGCACACCAAAATAAAACAAAAATATAGTGATGAAATCTCAAAACTTACTTCTGCAATATTGTGTTTGATTATCATTTAAAATCCCAAACATTTAGTAGTATTGTTTTAAAAGAAAAAAGAAAATTACAATACAAACTGCCACGTGCTAAGATTTCTTTTAAGTGTTTGCAGAAGCCTTTGATAGATAGATAGATAGATAGATAGATAGATAGATAGATAGATAGATAGATAGATAGATAGATATAAAAAGCATATATATATTTTTTTTAATGCTTTTTCTGTCCTATTCCTGGTATCTGCTGCCATCTAGCTATGAAAAAGATTTTCTCTGTTATTTCTTTAGGTCATCTATTAATAATTGAAATGCTTAGCACTAGCAAAACCTTGTAAGCTTTTTATGCTGTTTTCATTTTAAGTTGCATGCCTGGTTTAGGATAGGGTCACATAGCAAAACGTCAGTACATATGTATCCCAAGGAAGGATAAAGTGTAGGGTTTAAAGTGTGTACCCAGAAGTTAATTTGGGGAATATGAAATGTGAAACCATCTGTATCTAACAAGAAAAATGACCACATTGGTTCTGGTTTTAAAAGTAAATTTGGCAGTTGCTGTAACATATAGCAGTGACTTTTGATTTTGTGATTTGTTGGTAAGCTTCTGATCCCCATGCCTCTTTCATTCACAAGGGAATGAAGAAAGGTAAATTCATTATGTGGAATAAATGTGTGGCTTTAAAAATAAAGTCCTAAGAATAAGTAACCAGAGAAATGTGATTCTATCATAGCCTACAGCTATTTCTCAGTCTGGTTCTTCCAATAGCTAGTTGGCTTTCGCAGTCAAGTCATTAGATAAATGAAGTATTCTCTTCTGACACTTCCAGCGGTTTCACACAAAAATGGTTGAACTGTGATTTTCAGTTTGCAAGATTGAATGCTGCCTGAGGAAAGCCGTGCCAGGTGCTCCACTCTTAAAATCCTGAACGTATTTAAATAATTCACCACGCTGCTCCGAAAGCACCTCTAAACAAAACAAAATCAGTGCCCTCATATCTTGTAGACCTGGGATAATCAGATGTCTATCTTCATCAATGTCAAAATCTCTGGTTTGTATGGGGAAAATCAGCCATGCTCCATTATTCTTTTCGGACAGTCTTCAATGATGCTGCTGTCCGTCCTATTTTGGTTTTTCTCTTCTGGAAGCCATATGGCTAGGCTCAAGGGTGCTAAGGCATATCCACAAGACCAGGGTCATGGAAAAGAATCATCATTGGTGGTGAGGATTCATGTTCAGTGCTCCCTGCAAAGGATTCTGTACTCCCTGCAAAGACTGGATGTTTTTCTACATTTTTCACAGGGAATAAAATATTTTTTTGGAAAAATTCATGGAGGATGAGAAGGAGGGTGTATTACTTTTGTTTTTATTTATTTCCCTTTTTTTAAAAAGCCCTACCTTCACCTAAGTAGAATGGAAGCTTTCCCATCCTTCTTCATTTTCTTCTAAGAATGATCACTTGACACACTTGAACGTGCCTCCATGCCATTGCAAGTGAGCGTACATAGGACTTTTTTTAAGTAAAAGAAAAACAACCAGTTAAGAAAACTTCTCCTTCCCTATGTATAAATTCCAAATAGTATTTGCATATACCTTAATCTTCATTCATTCCCCTTTAATTTGACCACACGCACAAACACCTACCGAAATGGAGTGAATTAAAGAGGAGCGATCCATTTGGCATGAGGCTAGTTTATTCTTACCAAGTCAGTACTGATCAACTTACAAATTAATACGTTCATCAGCTTATTACTGGAGCCCAATCTAAATTACTAGAACTCTGTTCTGCAATGCAATGACTCCTGGAAAGAAAATCTCTGCCCCTTCCTCACCTCCTAATGCATGCAGTGTTTCTATATTTGTACTCCTAGAAAAAAATCTGTTGATACACATCAGATAGTGCAAGGATACAGAACCAGGAGCTGGAAGGTGACCTGAGTTGACTGGCTATGTTTATATTAACCCCAGACACACACACACACACACACACCCTCCTTAAGTGACCCTACTGCTTCCTCATGATAGAACTAGTAAAATAGAATATCTAAAGTATTTTGCTGTGAACCAGAATGTCCCAGGTTCCGTTGTCATAAGTAGGCATATACAAATCCCTGTTCTCTTGTTTTCAGATCCTTTATCTGCAATATGGGGATAAAAACAGATTTGATTCAGACTTAGTCATGCTTAGATCAGTTCTATTAAAATCCATGAAAAAGTCAGGATGAACATAAATCCCATTATTTTCACTAGGTCTACTCATTGAACGGACTAATTTTGTATTGAAGTAATGCTGTGAGATTTTCTATACTAAAAAAAAAATTGAAGTATAACGGTGAAGTGCAATACCTGAGAGATTTTTTGTTGTTGTTGTCAGCTGTGTTTTAAGCTCATCACCAGAGGACTTCTGGAAACTGCGATTTGGATAGTACTATTATTATTATTAGAGCACTAGTATTTCAGTTAAGTTGTCGACTTTCCTTCCTAGAACTTGGTATTTTGCTGATTTTTTTTTTTTTAAAAAACATTCTGTCAAGATGTAATGCATTCTGCTGCTCATATGTATCTTAAAATGGGAGTTGTTGGATTTTTTAAAATCTCCTTAAATATGTTTAATTTTTTTCATATTTTTATGCTTTCTCTTTTTTATCTTCCCTATTTCAATTGACTATTTTGTTTTTTTACATTTAACTGAATCACATTGTAGTGATTTTATTGTGTTTATTTGGACCGTTGCCCAAGATCCTTGGTTGAATGACTAAGTAATTACTTTCTCTTTGTCTCTCTCTCTCTCGTCTTTACAGAGGTTCATTTGAAGATTCTACAACCAGATTTTACACAGCTTGTGTGGTAGAAGCTTTTGCCTACTTGCATTCCAAAGGAATCATTTATAGGGACCTCAAGCCAGAAAACCTCATCTTAGATCATCGAGGTTATGCCAAATTGGTGAGTGCTGGGGATGTTTTCTTCCCAAACAGCAATAAAATATTACATTGTCCTGCTCACTGCATTGTAGTTAAGCTCTGTTGCCTCTCCCATTATAATCAGATGCCTTTCCTAACAGGTTTATAACAGCCATAAAACTACTTCTGGCTGAAAGGCAGTATTCAGCTCTGTAATTCCAGGACAAATCAGTTTATAAAAGAATTAATACAAACAGATTGATCCAATTGCTTCTGGGTTCCGAATGAGCAAAAGCAGACTTTTGTTCTTCTCCATATAATTTCAGAAGTTTATTCAGTTTTGTTGCATCCTTCTGGTACTGGATCAAGGTTTGAATATCTTAATGAAGCTGAAGAAATAACCAAATATGATTGTCGAATTTATCACACAATGACTTTAGCTTATTACTTTAGTCCCTAAGTTATCCCATATTAAAAATGATTTGATTTCCTATTGGCTTTCATTTTAGGGGAACTTCACTTTAACAACATTTTAATATCAGGCTTCACAAATTCTCGGCCTGGGTCTTATTCAGATTGAATTTGAGTTCTGAGCTATAATCAAAGTTATGGGAAACCTAGTAGTCAAGGGGACCTTTCCCAAAATTTCCCATGTTTTCCAAATATTTATTGGTAAATACTAGAAAGCCAGTGAATTCTGCCCTTTCTCATTTAATTCCAATATTATACCTACTGGATTCTTTTCTGCACAAGAATTTGTGCCACTCAGAGGAAATATGAATAGTGTGGTATTCTGCAAGAAGACGACAAAGCAATAAGGTTACCATGGTATTTATACAATCCTACAAAAATGTAATCATAGAATCTTTAGAAATCACTTGAATCAGATGAAGACATAATTTGGCCTACAGATGGCACTAAGTCATGTTCAGATATACCCTTTCTTGAGTTAGGAGATTGGGAATCGGAATTGCAGAAAAGCATATTGGAGGTGTTGAAAACAATGTATATGGTATATACAATGTATATGGTAGTGCCTGTTACTGATCTACCAAACCATATTTATATGGTTTAACTCTAAGTATATAACCATCTAGGACACATAAGCTAATTATTATGCACCTGTAAAACTGGAAAGTTTAGATTATTGTTGTTAACTCATTTTACTAAATGAAAATTGCTAATGCTTTTAGAAATCTTAACAGTGGAAATATGTTCCTCTTTGGTTCTACAAGTACTTTCTCTGATAGTGTTCATTTGAGAATTTCCTCATGAAACCTTTTCTTCTCATGTCCTTGTGCTAGTGAAAACCTATGTTGTGATCATCTCCTTGCATTCTTATGCCTGCATAAGTGCTTTTTGTCTTCCTTGATGGGTGTGTGAACCTTCTTTCACAGGTCGATTTTGGTTTTGCAAAAAAAATAGGATTTGGAAAGAAAACATGGACTTTTTGTGGAACTCCAGAGTATGTAGCCCCAGAGATCATCCTGAACAAAGGTCATGACATTTCAGCAGACTACTGGTCACTGGGAATCTTAATGTATGAGCTCTTGACTGGCAGGTATGGGCATTGAATTGGAGCTACAGATAAAAATAGATCAGCAAATTAGATAATATTTCTGCTGTTGTCACTTTGATTAAAAGAGTTGGGATTCAGAGCTGGCATATGCTATGATAAAGAAAAAAGTGTTTAAAAACATACTATGGAATTGCTTATTATTATTTTGCAAGCATTCACAACCTGCTTTCTAGCAACTAAAGTCTTTGGGGGACTAATGTAAGAGGAAAGGGTACTGTGAAGCAAATTGGCTGTTTCTGTTCATTCGTTCTAATTGGTGAGCACTTCCAGCCCCCATGCCAAATCAACCTTCATTCTTCTACCAATTCACCAAATCATGAGTTCAGGGTACTAGTGAGATTTATTTAGTTTGATGCATACGTAAAACTGAACTTCAGTCTTCAAGGAGGACCTTCAAACATCTCCCCAAAATATAAAATAATCAAAACAAAATAAAAACATACTAGAAAACAGCTAGATAGCAAATGGCCAGATTTGGAAATAATACAATTCTGAAGAAAAGTTAAACACAGCTTTTATTTAAAAAAAAAAATCACTAAAAATCACTAAAAAGTATATTAGAGGCTGCTAGCTGAACATCCCTAGAATCCATATTTCAGGGCTGGAGTATCATCTCTGACAGCACTCTATTCAGATCACCACTCACTTCACATCTGAAGGCAGGAGGGGCCATTGGAGAACCTACACAGAATATAAATTATGAGTATGTTAATGTGTGAGAAACCTTACTGGCTTGCTTTTTTGGGTGTTATCACTGTAGTAATCTGTATACTACTAAAACACTCATTGTGTTTATCCATTTGTCTGTTTGTACCCTCATGTTAGCCTAAATGGTACACTATGCCACAACAATTTTTGAATCAAGGTACTTAAAATCCACTAACTTAAAGAATGCGTAAAAAATCCAGGACCCATTACTCCTGTGGGATTGAAATTTCCACAATGTTCAGACCAGTTTTATTCACAAAGTTGTGGCCATTGCAGCGTCCCCGTGGCCATGTGATCATGATTTCCAACACTTCCTGCCAGCTTCCCACAAGCAAACTCAAAGGGGAAGCTGGCAGGAAGTCGGAAGTCACTCCCACTCCCACTGCCTTTTGCTCGCCCGTGGTAATTCTGTTTATCTGTTTAGGTAAGTAAATATTGACTTATTTTTAAAGATCATTTGCCACTACAATTATTTTTCTGTTTATGATAAGTACTCTTCTTAGATGATCATGGGACCGTCCAGCATGGGGGTAAAAAAATATGGTCTAAAAATATAGCTATAATTAATAAATGTTATTAATTTAATTTTATTTGTAAACAATCTATTACTAGATTTTATTAGTATTTTTTCTTCTTTTTTCTATAGTCCACCTTTCTCAGGCCCAGATCCCATGAAAACATATAACATCATACTAAGGGGGATTGACATGATTGAATTTCCAAAGAAGATTGCCAAAAATGCTGCTAACTTAATTAAAAAACTATGCAGGTAAACACTTTAAATATGTTAGTAATCCCGCCAAAAAAGGAATATGTATAAGAAGAACTCTAGTTTTTGTTGTTGTTTTTTAATTCTTGCTGTTGATTAAGTTCATTGATGCCAATATTTTGTTTTCATTCTTTATTACTGTTATTGTTAGCCACATGTGATATCCATTTTAACAGTAACTATATTAGAAAAAGCATTGTTTTCCAACTTTCTTTTATGACTTTTTTCTTCTGTTATTTTTAAACAGGGACAACCCATCAGAAAGATTAGGTAACTTGAAAAATGGAGTCAAAGATATTCAAAAGCACAAGTAGGTATATTTCAGATAGAAAAAAATAATTCCTTATATATATCCATCAAAGTATGGGATATATTTTTGCACGGAAGAATTGAGAAAAATGAGAGTATCGTAGTTCAGTAATGAGATTTTTTTTTATAAGAGACTTGAGTACTATAAGACAACTATGAATTTAAAACATTTGTATGCATTCTGAATACAAATACAAATACAAGGCTTCAGCTTGGTATGATAAGTCCCATGTGGCAGTGAATGTGCTAGCTAACTGTACAGGCTTAAAGACTATGAAATTTCTTGTAAATGAAAAATCTTCAAGGTTGGTTAGAGTCAGGTAGCATCCAAGTTCAAATATAACATAACATAACATAACATAAAACATAAAACAAAATTGTCTCGAAAGCCCTTCAGTGAAACAGTGATCCCTGTTCAACATGCTACTTCATAAACAGGAGGCAGGTTACATGTAAATAAGGTTACGGATATCAAAAAGTCAGATCTTCTTTGAAGTTAACCATATAGAAAAACGTTCATTATTTTTTTTTCCTTATATGTTTGAAGAAAACAGATAGCCGCTATCAAAGTACCTGTCCATCTGCTTCAGCTTCTGGGAATCTCAAATCATTTAATATCCATAGACTTACTGTATTATTTTATTTTGGTTCATCACAGATTTGAGATCTGCATCTGGACAGAGCCTTGTTTCAGAATCTTCTCTAGCTGAGGAAAAATCTTGATTCTGTCCTAACTGCACACAATTAAGCATTGTGGCTTTATCTTGATACTGCAGATGAAATTATGTGTTCCATAAACCTGCCCCCCCATTCCCCCAGTATTAAGTAAGAGGGTTTCAGAAATATAACTTTGTAATGTTTAATGCTAGTCTACTTGGTCTTGCTGCAATGGTAGCTGAGCCATATAAATTTCCTTGTGTGATTTTATCATTTTTCTGTCTTTAGGTGGTTTGAAGGCTTTAACTGGGAAGGTTTAAGAAAAGGTACATTGACACCTCCTATTATACCAAGTGTGAGTACAGCTTTATTACTTGTTAAAATATGCATATTGGAATCACAAATTGAGAAAACTGCTGAATAAACTCACTGAAAAAACAAGCAGGAGCACTGATCCAAAGCATAGATACATGTTCTTACCTTACATTGACACCCCCATGTATGCAGACTTCTACTTGACTTCATTTTCAGAGACATGCAGTAAGAATGTATGTGAAGACCTCTTCCGACAATGAATCAGTGATGAAGCTTCTAGTAAAATACAAACACTTAGGCTGAAATATATTTCTAATGAAATCTCTACGTCTTTATTACTGAAAGCTTCTTTGTTCTTTTCTCCAACTCTCAGTTCTCCTTTGCATTTCTTCTTTTACTCCATCAGTTTCTAAATGTCGTATTAGATTACAATTTGTTGTATTCAACGGACAATTTGTCATACTTTTTCCAGTTCAGCACAAGTAACTAAGATGCTGCCTTTTTTTTTTCTTCAAAGTAATGACTTTTTAGTTTGACTTGATGAAACCTACAAGTCACACAACAATTGCCTCAATCTCCATCCAGAGCCATGTTGATGCAAAAAACAGTTAATATCAGGATCAATACAGTTGAAGGAAAAAAAGGATAGGGCTATGTAATACCGATTCTTAATTGTTAATTAGTCTTCTCCCAGTGTTTCCACTAAGTTTGTAAAAGAGTGAAAGTCAAGTGACATTCCATTAAATCCATATAAGAGGAACATCTATTTCTGTACCAAAAGTAACCCTTTTTAGCAGAAATATGTCATGGTTTGAGAATACCGTATAAGAGTGACAAACACTGAAAATAGTTCCTGTTGGACAAATCCAAAGGACAGCCTCCTATAATTATAGTCTGCAGAAATTATCATGAGGGCTACGGACTTTCTAAAATGAAGTTGGGATGAATTGTGGTGGAGATTAATGTAACTGGTTTTCTTTGAATACACCTTAATTTGCTACAACAGGTTATATTTAGTTTAATTTTCTACATATTATTTGAATTTTACCATTTATGAAAGAAACAAATAGTTACTATCAGATCTGGATTTACACCCATGGTGAATGTAATTTTAAATATTTAACTTTTCTAATTTGATTTCACACATTCGCTGTGAAGTTTTTGAATTTCTTTGCACTGTAATTCAACTAGTACATGGAAAAGCCATCTGTAAATTATGTGTATCCCCCCAAATAATAATTGACAAATTCAAAAATAACTAATTCTGTTTGAATGAATGTACATTTCAATCTATTTAGGAATCATGAAGGTCATTTTTCTGAAAATAGTAAGTTTTCTTCTGTCATTCAATACATCACTGTTACCCCAAGCAATGACAATTTTCAGGAACAGCACTACCAGGTTTAATTTATTTTGGAGGAGAGAGAATACTTGTATTGTCTTTATTGTATTGGCTTTTAATTATTAAACAGATAATTCAATACTGGTACTACAAGGAAAAAAAAAATCTATTATCCCAGATGGGGAACATACAAATACAGAATATACTTACTGGTAAACTCTTATCATATTACTTACCCCTTGTTAATTTTTAATGTTTTGTGTCCACTTTTCTAACATCAAATTATATATTTTGTATTGATTATTTTAAGTTTAAATTAACCAATCCCAATTTGTTGGGTTCCTTTATTAGTTTTTCAGGTTCTCGCAAACAGAATTCTCCCAAGTCAAATGATATACAAAAGCAGTTGATATTTACATAACGGAACTACAGTATTTAATTCAATAAATATGGAATCATACAGTCTCATGTTAAATGGAAAAAAATCTACATCCTATCCTTATTATTTTCCCACTTTCTAAAATTTTGTTGACTTTTTACATATCTGTCATATGTGGTGTCTCTGCCATATGTGGCAAAAACAAACACAATCTGTTTATATGTGGACAAAGGCAGCAATTTCTTTCTCCTCTGTCATTGCTTGCATGAATTTTCTAAACAACTCTACACAATTCTGTTTTTCACATACCTGTATGTATGTGAAAATGTAACCTGCCATACATTTGCATTTGATCCCAGCTTTGTAGATTAGCACAGAGGGCTGTCAGTGACATTAAGAAATATTTACATCATTTTGCCAAACTCTCCATTCTAATTAGGAATTACTAGGAAGCCAACCCCGTTCATTTTAAGGTTGCTTCAAAATTATTTTTAAAATGTACAATCACCCTGCCTTAGTCACAAAATTTATGGGGTGTCCATTATACCTTCCCATCTTTTCCCACCACTTTTTCCATCATTTTTGTTCTGCACAATGCATTTTGAATAGAAGCACCCTAATCCATGAGATTTCTGTTCACAGAACATTTTTAACAGTACTACATAGAACAGTATTGTGAATGAAAACGGCAGAATCCTGAGTTTCTGAACCGTCTAACTCTTACGGGCAAATGTGAATTCACAAATGGTATAAAGGGGTCATAGCTGAAACCAGAAAATTGTCTAAAGATTCCAGATGCAACAACAGTACCAATAGTTTAATTTCCTTCATTGGACAGGTTGCATCTCCAACTGATACAAGCAATTTTGATAGCTTCCCTGAGGACAACGATGAACCACCACCTGATGACAACTCAGGATGGGACATAGACTTTTAATGTTTTTCTCTTACCTGCTTCTGCCTTGCTGAAGACAGCTTCCTGAGACATGGCTGCCAGCAGACCTGAAGGATTTGGGAAGGATTCGTGCTCGGGGTCACCATGATGCCTTGATTGATGCTGCTACAGTAACTACAGTGGCATTAGGACTTCTTGCTTAGATGACAATAGTGCTCTTCACATGTTTTCTGTTTGAACTTAACACAGCAGTTGACATGGTGGTCCTGAAGCAAAACCTTTTTCACCAATAATTAAATGTGTTTTCTATCATGGTACTGAACACGCTATGCTCCATTGTAATTTGAAAGTTCATAGAATAAGATGCACATAATTCTAGCTGTAAGTTCATTTTCTTTATTGCTAAATATATTCCAAACTGTTAAGTACTGTAGCTCATTCTATGCTGTAGAATCTACGGTACAGTAACTGGGGTACTCCCAAACTGCAAGTTGAGTGTATTGAGCCTCTTAAAGTAGGCCGATGTGTTAAACCAAGGAGGACCACAAAGCTATTTGTGAAGGAGCTCATGTCAAAGCAGTGCTATAATTTGTCTTTCTTTTCAAGCAGTATACAAGACAAGAATGAATGTTACCTTTCTCCATTTTTAGTTCTGATGCGCTTTTCTTCCCAACTGATAACAGAAGCACAATTGCTACAGTTCCTGTTAAACTGTTAAAGCAAGTATGGGTCAGTCAATTCTCATATCATATGTCTGAGAGCGTACTATATCTATCATTTCTTTTGTGGATACAGATACATAAGAGCATGTGAAAAAAGTGTTCATAAAACTATTCATTTTACATATATACAATAACTATCTTGTAAAAGAAAAAGAAGAATATTTATTCAAAGGTCCTAAAAACAAAATAACGTTAACCAACAAGTCTAAAAGGCATTTACACTTATTCTAAAATAACAATTACCTTTGACAGCCCATTGAATTTCCAAGATCCACTGCATGTTATATAGGTGCTATGTACATCTTTCATCTGTGAAATAAAATAATCAAACTTTCACACTCATTTTTCAGAAAAAAAATGTAGCAAGAAATTTCACTATCAGTTGAAATTGTGTATACATATAAGTGTGTCTATTCTTATGCACACTTATATATGGATGATACATATACATATTTTCAGTGCTACTCTGCGGTACTGCCCTAACTTTGTTTTTCTTTTCTATTTTCCAAATCCCACAAATGTTATGCTACATTTATTTTCTCAAAAGATTATTGGCCAAATTTTCCTTGTAAAACATAACTCTTACAGATCTGTCTACAAACAAGGAACAATGCAATTGAAATGGAATGCTTCAATATCCCATTCATTTCAAAAGGAGAATTAAATTCACACTTAAATTTCTCCTATTGAAATTAACAGGTCTTTAAATGAGTCCATCTTAGGTGAATTACACCTACCAGTTATGAATATTTTAATGGGTCAGTGCATAGACCAATTTGTCCAAACTTGTTGCTCAGAAATTATTGGAGTCCAACATGTTCAGAGGACAGAAGTGTGAGAAAGGCTATTATAGATAGCAATAGTTTATGAACTTTCAGAACAATTTCAGCGAAGACTTCCACTTTTCAGTATGACTTTGTTAGCATTTGACAATATGCTGCTTAAGTAGTCTTGCATCTGTGCTAACTTTTTAAATTAGTTCCCTAAAAAGAAAACAAACAACCACATTTCCAGAATGTCCATTTATTTTGGAATTCTCACCAAAGCACCACCATAGCTTAATAACTTGCTCTTTCTTTTGAATCCAGAAGTATATTTACATCTCTGGTTTTGGCATTATGGATTAATTTAGCTTGCCTCCAATTACTTTTTCTCCATATGTTGCCTAATACTATCCTGTTTATTTACTTTTTCCTTTCCAGCCTTTGAAGCTATCCTATTAATGAGGCCTGAATTCAGACAATGTTATTTACATATATAGTAATACTATAAAATATAACAAACTCCACTGAACTCAATGATAATCACATCTGATTAGAGATGTACAAGATTATATTTTTCTTTTCCTTTGAAATTTATGGGATTTGAATCATGACTAGCTTGTACCACCATTTTAAATGGTACCAAAATTTAGCTATTTTACAATGCACTACTGTGTGTGCTTATACAGAAGTAAATCCCACTTTGTTCAGCAGGGCTTATTCTGAAATAGGTATGTATAGGATTGTTGTCTCAGTCTGGTTCTAATCCAGTTTGTATAACATAGAACTTCCCTGTCATTGGATAGGGCTATAAAATGAACTTGAAACAAAACACTGGCTGTTGAATACATATCATTGCACTGGTTTAGCATTATATCTAAACGCAATTACATTGTTAATGTTAGTTTTCCCCATAAGAGATGCTTAGAGACTAGTTCAGTTAAAAAAAACAAAAACCCAAAACATTCACAAATGAAGCTCATTGGCTACTTACCGATTACCCCCAAGTTCTTGAACCAATCGTTTCAGTGAAAACAGCTCTCTAGTCTAATACATTAGAAGATAATGTATGAGTTTGAAGGAGAAAAACATGGAAAGAGATTATCATCTTCATAACTTTCTCACATATTTGATACAAACTTGTAGTTTCATTTTAAGATATTTAATCTTGAAAAACATACTGTTTCTCTGTTCCTAGTGATGGCTTCCACCAAAAATAACAATAAAGAACCAGCACCATCCAGGATTGGTACCATATAACAATGCAATCCGGGAAATAGCACTCTGCTTCCAATGGACATAGGATCAGGAATAGGAATCCTTGATGTGGGACTAACATCCAATCACAGGTGCATCCGCCTTATTGAAATGATTCAAGCTTCCAAACCTTAGTAAAGGTACATCTTCTTTTTAGCTGAGCTTGGTTCCCAGTGAGAGACGTGATAGTCCATTATCATTTTCTGGGGTTTCTGGGATAATTCCGGGATAAAAACCTTGTCGAACATATAGCCTGCCATTTCAGTTTCAAACTTTACAACCCTGTACTATAGCACATCATGCCCTTCCCTCACACACAGGAAGAGATACTGTCGGCCAACCTCGCAGAAGCAGGAATGGCACAGTTTTCGTGAGTAAAGGCCCAAGTCAAGCAGAAATCAGAAAGCATGATGAGAACTAGAATAACTTAGAATAACATGTGGCTGCTCTTGAAGTGTTGAAGAAAGGTCGTAATCTTTGATCTCGTCGGTCCAAATTGAAATTTAGTCTATAGAAAATAAGGGCTCAGGGTTTTTTTTTCCCCTTGTTAAAATTAACCAGACAATTTAATCTCTTGTCGTATCCATTACACGAGATCCCTTTGCATGAAGGTGCAGGGAAACCTAAACTTCCAGGATTCAGTCTCAGAGTATTCCATTGTCAGCTTAGTCAGACAATTCTTCACATTCATAAGGGTGCCTGTAGCTTGAGTAGAATATTCAGTAGAAATACAGCACCACACCTTAAGTTTCCTAGAAGGACTCAGCTTCATTTATGTCAGATCTATTTAATTATAATCAATTTCATGTTTTTTTCACAAATGTACATCATTGAGAGACAATATGAACACTGCACCACTTGTTCATCACTTCTGCTGCTTGTCAGTCCTGCACAGTTACTTGTACATAACAAATCTAACACAAATATGTAACTTTAGTATATAAACACTGTTGGAAGCAGACATTTGCTACTAGGGCTAAAACAGCTCCATAGTCATTTTGGTCAAGTCAATTGTTTCTACATTACATCTGGGATCATTACACAAAGAACGCTCTGCACTTCACCTCTGGCAAGTGACATGCCTACGTGAAATCAATTAAAATCTAAAATGTATTCATTTCAACTCATGGATTTTTCCTAATATACAGTATATACATATATACATACATACATATATATATATATATATTGTTGTCTCCAATCTAAATAGTTCCAGTGCTAATAGGTCATCCTAAAGCACTCAGCTGAACAGTAGTCACAAGTTTTAAAATATTTATGCAAGAAAAGTTGCAGAATGAGCGTGGTATGAATTATTATGCTTGATTCCTTCCAATTGTCCTTGAACTGCACTCAATAATATATAATTGGTGTGGTGTGCACTTAATATAAATTTATTTTGTCATATGACTCACTTGCATCTTCTTTACCAAATGTATTTTCAATAACTTAAACTAGCATATGTATAATAGTAAACCCTGCATTTATAAGTAATATATTTTATTTACATATATATAAATATAAATATATATCAACATACATGTTTATGTTTCAATGTACTGTCTTAGTCCACATGTTACTCCTTCCATGCAGATCACACCAAAAATGGCCTCCCATGTTGAGTTTTCCATCCCCAGCAATAAGATTAAGTGCTACTCAACACATGAATTAGGGCAATAATGTTGCAGGTTTCCTGGTTTCACTGAACTTAATAAGTAAGAATGGAAAAGATAACTACACATTACAGCTGGGAATGGTAAACTTGTCATGGCCGCATTACATAGACTTGGCCTAGCACAAGTAGTATGTGGACAACTTATTATTTATGGCTACAGTCCTCAGATAAACTTACTCATGAGTAAGACCCATTGATTTGATAGATTTTGTTCCCCAATAATGAATTTGAGATTGGGACCTTGCTTCTCCACAATAAATGGGGCAACGGCAATCTGCATAAAAATGAGTTTGCTAACATATTTAAGACACACTGACTAGAACTGGGTTCTAAAGGTACAGATGAACTGTAGCTTATTAGAGTGCTGCATTCTCCACAGAAAATTATTTAATAATAGGACCACAGGCAAATATTTATGTAAATAGATATTTTTTCGTGTTGATATTTTATGGTATACATATAGCTTTTTCTTTAGAACTTCATTGCATTATTTTCATTTTCTTATTTGTAAGGTAATGTTTTTAGATCAACGTAGACTTGAATTAATGTCATAATTGTCAGTATTACTGAAGTTTATGTCAACTGTACCGTTGTCCATTTGTCCCATAGTTTAGAACATCATCTAGTTATTTGGCATTGTTGCAAGTGCCTTAAATTCATGGCATCCTATTAAAAAAAAAAATACAAATTTGGTGTTATGCTGCATGACCAAGACAAACACACCTCAAAATGTTGTCCTTTCTTAGCTTGCTGCGTTTTACAGTTCTTTCGGCTAACAGTTTATAAGCCTTTACTATATAATATTGATGAATTACAGAAATGATGAAGTTGTTCTCTTATTTCTGTTATAAATGTACCAGAGCTGTGTATCTGTTAATGAGATACAGCGTCATTTCTGTGAAATGTATAAATGTATGTGCAGGTCAAATTAATATATGACATACTATCAGTCTGTATACAGGTATTCCTGTTTTGCTAAGCTGTGCAAATTTTAAAACTGTAGTGCGGTAAAACTTCGGACATACCACATTTTGTAATCGATTCCATAGCAAAATAAAAATTCCAGTCAGGCAGATTAGACAATAAAATTGACATCACAGCAAAACAAAACAAAAATCCTCTGATTGGGAAGCCGACGACTGCCAAAAGGAGTGAATCTTGTTGCACCACTGAACAAAACAGGACCCGTGCTTTCTCTGGGTTGGTTCCAGACCTAGTCGCATTTAGAGTAAATCCATTCACATCAATGGGACTTACAGAAGTTGTAACTAATTTCATTTTAATGGTATACTCTAAGTAGGCTTAAATCTGAAATCAACCCTATGATTTCATGTATATGCAAACAGTTTCTGAGACACCTTCTCAGTCGTATATCTAGAAAGCGAAACACTGAAAGTGTATTCCTAGTCCTCTTCTCTGTGAACAGTCAGCTCTACAGCCCTGAGACTTTGATGTTTCAGGCTTTAATAGCAAAGGGAAATCGATTCAGAGTTGCCTACTAATGTACTTATTCCAATGTTATGATGTTTTTACACATGGTGGTTTCCTTTATAATCCTAATGGCTCTTTTTCTTCTTCATAAGGATTCTACATGAAAGAGGAGGAGTTAGTTTTGTTTGTCCAAGGTACACTTTCATCAAATGGTCTTTGACCAGTTGCACTCTTTTGATGTAGACTGAAAAAAAAAAAAAACTTTTTATCATGAAGTTAACTGCTTTTGTTTTGCTCTGTATTTTCCCTGCAGCTGTAATTGCCGAGTGCCTGTTGTATACTTTATAGAGTTGAAATAAAAAAATTTACTTTTGAATGATGTTGTCTTATGTCATACTTCTGGCTTTGGGGAATAATTATCTACTGTAAATCATGGCTCTATTCTTTATTTTCTTTTTAAACTCTGGTCTAAGTTTAAAAACAAAGACGTCCACAGAAAGCCTATTGTAGACAGATGACCATTATTTTTTTATTATTTGAGTTTCCTTCAGGTATGAAGGCTAACGCTATCTCAGGAATGTAGATCAGATTATTCTATATCCAGAATTTTTACTAGCTAGTGGTTTTGGATCCCTTATCTCTTAAGCCAAGGAATTTTGGCTTCTATGTTTAAACATATATGTTAGAACATAGTTCTTTCACACTCTGTAACTAATTCACAGGACGGAGAAAACTACGGAGAATCATGTTGGTTCCAGTTTATCTACAAATGTACATACATAAGTCTCAGTGAAAACAATAAATCCCAATAATCAAAATGAATCAAAATCTCACTGTTCTTAGTAGGAATCAGTAACAATTTGGGAGGATGAATTGAATGGTGGAACAGTATTGTTTATACGCTATGGCTTAATGTAGACTTCTTTTTAATAAGTTCAGTGTTGTACAAGTTATATGATGGAATCCTATGCAAGTTTCTCAGAAGTAACTCTAACTATATTCGGAGGGGCTTAGTCTCAAATAACCATATTTAGGGATTTCCCTCTAATATTGCTTTTCCACTGATGAAGTAAGTAAATAATAAAATGAACTAATCATATATATGAGAAAGTCAGTTTTCAAACTAGGGTTTGTGAATGACTAGCAATGTCCAAAGAAAAGGCACAGAAACAGGCACAGTTATTGCATTAAAATGGCAAGGATATGGTTATTTCAGTCTATGGTACAATTTTACAACAAAAAAAGGAAAGGTAGGATATAAACAATGAATGGATAGATGAATGGATGAACATGCACATTACAAAATGATCTGTAATAGGTATGTGTAGTACAAAACATTTAAATGCTCCATCAAGAGTCCCAGCAAATGACAATAATCATGAAGGGGGACAGGGGAAGCATGTGAATCGCTGAAATAGATGAAAGTCTATATTCATCCTAAAATGCCTTAATGGTATCTCCAAATGACTGTCATTAAGTCTTGTAACATTTGAGCACACTACTGGAACCTCACCGAGAAAAACACATTATACTTCCAATATAGCCTTAGAGACATCGCTGTATCACCAAGCTTGCAGATCTTGATCTATGACAGAGACTGCAATGGTGCAATGGTTATGCTGATTTATCTGTTGGTTGTTTGGTTTCTACCTTAGTTGCCAATTATGGATGCATTACTTCTATTGTTATATGTTGTTATACAGTGTTTTTGACACTGTTAGCTGCCCAGACTGATGAATTTCAGATGGGTGGCCATATAAATTGAAATGTAAACAAATAACTAAATAGCCCAATCCTCTATCTTTTCAATTATATTTATGTTTTGGAAGTTGTAGTCAAATGCTCTCAAAGTGACTTATCCTAAAATATCGATTTTACTATAAAATGATTAGCATTTTTTTTCAAATCACATCACAACAAGTTATAGCACAGCAATACAATAAAATGCCAGCATCCAAAAAGGAAAAGGTCGGGGATGTGAAACATTTTTTTGTTTTAACTTGGTGCCAAAAGAAAACTAAAACCAGCCCCATATGACCTTCATAGGGAAGTTTGATTCAGAGATAGGATAACGCTAAAGAAAATCCATGTCTTTTACAATTATCCACCTCATATAAGCAGATGGGAAGAGCCGCAGCATTATATGATAGCCAGGTTAATGACAGACATTATGGTGAGGAGGAAGAGGCAAAATGTGTGGGTAATTATGTCATAATGAACAAAAAGTTGTGCTAATGAAGCATTTTTTTATGACAAGAATTGCTTTGTCATCTGCAAGTGGGTGCGATGCATTTCAAATATTCTAAAAACAGCAATGTTGATTTTTCTTCCTTTGAAAAACAGCCCTTCCAATAACCACAAATCCAGTTCATACAAGAGCAAGGTTTTTGTTTTGTTAAACCACTGATACTTTCTACAAGTTCTGACACTGCCACATTTTTCAGTTTCTACCTATTTAATGACCTCAGCAGGTATCTGATTCTTTGCAAGATGAGAACATTTTATCCATTACAATGTCACCTGTAGACAGTCAGCTAGTTCTATTTATATAATTAAAGAGCTGTATCCCAAAATATAAACACCTAGCTCTTAAGGGAAATTGACATTTGCCACCTCTACTGTTTTACTGAAGTGAATACAGTACTAGTGCAATTTTATGGAATTTTATTGTTTGGTCTTTCTACTTTCAAAATCCTTTTCGCATGGAAGATAAGTTTAATGATATTTTTATCTATCCTCAGTGAAGGAAATCAGTAAAATGAATTGCCTGCATTTCCTGGAAATGGTGAAAAACTATTCAAAGGAATTAGAGTGAAATTAAGGCTTGATGGAACAGCCCTAGCTATGAATATATTAGGTTCAGTGCTACTGTGATGACCCAAAGCCCCCCAATAGATGAAGTTGCTGTTGCATCATTGAACAATGCCAGAAGGAAACTTAAGATTTGGAGCAATCATCTAATGCAGGACAGGAAGAGTATCGACACCTTTGAACTTTGGTGTCGGAGAAGACTCCTGAGAATACCATGGACAGCCAAGAAACAAATGGATCATTGAACAAATTAACCCAGAGGTCCTACTTCAGGCACAAATGACCAGGCTCAAATGATGCTACTTTGGACACATTATGTGAAGACCTAGCAATAAAAGCAATAAAAGATAAAAGATGGAAAGTGCATCAGATCAGATAGAATCTCACTTTCTCTTGCCAAAGGTCTGGGTGAAAATCAGAGGTCAGATCAGAGTCAATTCGCCTCTTTGGGGATGAGGAAAACCTAGCATGAGGGCAACCAAGGGTTTAACCCACATTTGTTTCAGCCAAAACTGGAGACAGCAAAGTCTCGGGAGGGAGGGGGGCAGAGAAACCCCCCACTATAAAATTGGCCACGCTTGCAGACATCTGTGAATGTATGCCCTCTTTTCATTATTAATTGTTTCCGGTTTGGTTTTTGGTGTTTTAAATTTTGTACCTGTGTTTGATTGGTCTGGGACTGTAAATAACTAACCGACTAAATAAAAAGCAGGTATTTCACAGGATCAAACGAACTCCACTCAATCAACTCTACTGGGAAAATGAATACCTCAAGTAACCCAATTGACCAGTTTGCCTTGTTCTTCAAGAGAAAGAGCTGGAAAGAAAGAGCTGCTGAAAAGGCAAGCCTCTCCTTTGCCATGGCAACTCCCCACACGGACTGCAGTGTTGAAGCCCAGCCTGGTTCTGGGCATTTGGGTGATGTTATGCAGTATAATGGTTTACAATGATTTTTGTTTGTTCCATTGTTTTTAAATCTGTTTTGGCTGTCTGGCGCTCAGTGCCATTTGGAGTGGAGTGACATAGACGTGTCAGTAATAATGTTTTTTTTAAAAAAATATCTCCTCTGAGGTTAATAACAGAGTGCCTTCCGCAACCTTGTTAATAAATCCCACTTTTTCCATGGCAAGTCCTTTAAAATGGGGCAGGTTGTCAGCCTGCACGGCTTATAGAGAAGCTCTTCTTTACCCATCAGATCATTTATTTATGAAATTCTTGAAATAAATAAATCACTTTGACTAGGTAGTTTGACTACTGGGATATATGCCTTTGCTAAAGAAATGCTTCCCTTATAAAAAAGAGTTTGCTTGCGAAGTCTCCAGAAAAGGGGACAAATTTTGGGCTGCAGCAAGAGCTGTTAGAAGTGGTTGGGTCAGAAGGTAACCTAGATATGCTTAGTTTCTGCTAGGAAGGAGACGTTTATGCTTTTTTTTTTTTTTTAAACTCTCTTTGGTCTCTGATTGTACATCAGCTAGTAACAGCAACCCACTGAACACATTTGGCTTGGTCACAGTTTTCCCAGTGGCCTCTTGGCAATGGCTTTCATTAAACTACCGTAGAGTTTCACAGCTATGCTCCTCATACCGTACAGCAGTGTTGTCCAAACTTGGCCACTTTAAGATGAGTAGACTTCAACTCCCAGAATTCCCCAGCCAGCATTC